ATAGATAGATAGATAGATAGATAGATAGATAGATAGATAGATAGATAGATAGATACACACACATTTATGTGTGTATGTATGTGGGAGGGGGAGGGGAATCCTCACCCAAGGGACCCACGCTAAAACCTTTCCAGCTCTCTTGATTTTAATCTTGTTGAATTGTCTGACATTATCAGCGTAAAAGTACCAAGAATGTTTTTTTTAAATCTTAGAAGCAGAGAATATATAACATACAAAGGAATGACATTGAGGCAATTTTTCCTTGATCAGAACGTGTGGTGCAAAATATGCAATAGGTTCCTGTGCATGGAAAGAAAAGAAATAAAGAATTGCATAACTGAAAAAGAGGTTGAAGCAAGGTACCCAGGAAGAATAAGGAGCAAATCATAGCAGAGAGATTAACAAAGACCCCGTCCACAAGTTTCAATGATGAATGAGCAAAGCCCCTTTCCTCACCATCCGTCTGTGGAGTTATCCTCCACTTGATCCTGCTCAGCAAGCTGTTCAACGGCATGTGCTTGGCCCTCAGAAATGTCAGCTTCTGGTCGTCCCTCTCCCGAATTGTCAGCCTTTTCTGCGTCTTCCAAAGGGATATCAGCCGTCATTGATTGCCCAAGCCCCGAGGTGTCCGCCATATGCGACTCCATCCCCCCAGAAACAGCTTCTGGAATTCTCATCTCGGAGGTATCGCCCAACTCAGGTTTCCCTGTTGGGGTGTCAGCCTCAGCGACTTCTGTTTCAGAGCAATCGGTCATTTCCGTTTTTCTTTCAGAAATCCCAGAAGCCCCAGAGTCGGCAACCTCAGGAGCGCCAGGCTTCAAAGACCCCTGGTCACCAGCGTACTCGTCGTCTTGCATGTGACTGGAGAAGACTTTACCAGCTCCAGGGAGATGTTCCATTTCGGAGTTGTCAGCCAGTTGTACCTCGTCTTCCGTGAAGACGTCAGCAACCACACACTTCTTTTCAGAGTGTCCAGGAGAGTGAGAATGGACGTCAGAAATGCCGGCTGCTAGCTCGTCTCTCTCTTTCCAACAGTATTCGGCCCGTATTACAGTGGGGAAAAGGTAAAGAAACGTCTCGCTTGGGATTCCACAAGGCACGTTGTCGATGGCCAGCTCTCGGTATTGCTCCTCTGAAATTATACATACAGTACAAGACCAACTTGTCACATTTATGAATCAAAGGACTGAATAGAATAAAATGTTTATGGTAAGCCAAGTAATATCCTCCGGATAAATTTTATCACACGTGGACACAACAACAAGCATCGGTTTTTGTGGTGCAGGGGTTAGGCGCTTTTCTGCCGCACGCGGGACACCCGAGTTGGATTCCCGAGAAGGGAGAATTTTTATCGAGTATCTCGGTCTTTCTACTGGGATGTTATATACCTCTCATCCTGAGTTCCACCTGACAGGTAGGTTCGAAAGCCTTCTACATAATCGTAATTGTGACAATGAGTATAAAAAACCAGCTCTATTTTTTAAAATAAAATCACAAATACGGACATGTATACAATGTTGTATAAACACTCACATGCTCTTATGCACAAGGATTCACATACACACGTAAATACATATAAATGTGTATTCAACAACATTAATATGCCCACATACACACACACACACACACACACACACACACACACACACACACACACACACACACACACACACACACACACATACATACATACAAATCGTGTAAATTCACACATCTGCTGACTTAAAAACGATATGCGATCAAACTGCCCCACTCTGTTTTACAACTTGAACTTTATCACAGAAATGAAATACAAGAAAGGAAATGCAATGCGTCCACCATTTTGTGAAGGATTCATTTGAGGCGTCAACAACAAAAATTAAAGCAGATGAATCCATATAATACTCAGCCGTACAAAATTGTGTTGTCAAGGAGAAAGTGGAGTATTATGCTAACAGACAAGTAATAACATAATTTGAAAGATTAGAAATGCTGTTGCTGGTGCTATGGAAGGAGCGACTTTCAATTTCTTCTCAGAACTGTAATAATAATATGATGCAATAGAAATCAATGGCCAACACGAGCACATTTTACAAATAAACGCATGCGTGATAACAAGGCCATTAAAATCCCTTATAACCAGCCGTCACACCAAAACCGACCAGAGTCTCGGGTAACTAAGTTTTATTTAAAAAAACAAATCAGCTCGCAGAAGAGCGAATCAAATCATACTCATCCGACTACCCAAATGAAATAATTTACACAACGAAGTTAAACCAATCGATAAAAAATGTGAAGAAAACAGAAATCCCTACAGTTTACAAAGTAGTCAACGAACCAATTCACAACTCGATCAGGTAACAAACCAACAAACCCATCCCCAGACCAGCCGACCAACCGGCCAACTGACCATCTAGCCAATCAACTAGGAATAATAAAAAAATTCATCGACAAATCAACACGCTCTGAATCCGGTCAAGAAATCAAGGTGTTTTTATCCTATTGAGTACCAATAAAAGAAGAAACAATCACAACTTGAAACAGTTTACCGACAAATCAAAGCTGTCAATCAAATCTGCCTCTTTCAAACAAAGAAATAAACAACATTTACCAACAAGCTCAATACCACATGAATACGGTATAAAGGCTTAGAAATAAGCTGCGTGTATCAGCTTTGCCAAACATTGGCTTGTGAGACATGCGGAATTTTTTCTGAACACTTACTTGTGACAGAAAAAAAGAAATCGTGCGAACTAGCATACTTAAAATAAAAACTTATTTTTACATACATAAGCGTATGCAAGGGTTAGAGTTCCATAATTTTCGAGCATTGATATAAAACCAGCTGGGCTTTAGAGTGTGTATACATTTTAACAGCAAATAAAAATCAATTATTTAATCAGGTTTTTTGTCAGCTCTCCTTACGGTTTAATTAGAGAATTTCAAAGTGAAGGATCGCGTAAGAAATTACTCTTTCTACACAGCTCGAAAAAACCCCCAACTTAAGTGTGTATCAACAATGGTTCCTGCATTATTTGTGGTTATTGTTAAGTCCATAAAAAGAACCAAGCGAAATATAAACCTGCAGTACGACACACAAGCAATAAATTGTGAATCAAAAGACCTAATCAACATTTGAGAGACTCGTTTTGAGATCGCTAGCGATAAAATAATAGATCCCGATTTCATTCTGCATCCATACTTTTCGACAATTTTTAAATTTACAATTGTCAGGAACATCTCCCTGACAAACCGAAAGGTTTCCAGAACGGACAGCCAGTTTGTCTTGAAAAGTCCGACATCCGGGCAAGAGCAAGAGAGAAGACGAAAGAAAAAAATGTGTTATTCGTGGAGAGCACACCATGATCACAGTGGAAGATTTTCGAGTACAGTACACCAATACAACCCTAACGAAAGCAATCCTCTTTACCCTTACATTTAATTTTGCAGTTGAATCCGTTATTAACGAGTAACGGTGTCCAAACACCACGTGTACCGCCATCCATTGTTGTCGAGTTTGGTTTCCTTTCTAGATACTGTTTTGAGCGTACGATTTCTAGAAAGAGCTGCGACAAACGGCTATTATGATGCCGTGAAATCACTCTGATTTTTTAAAAGAAAGAAAAGATTTTTTTTTAAAAACAAAATATTTTTTTAACGGTAGCCGAGGAGAAAGGTGAAAATTAAAAAAAACAAAAACTTCCTGGAATTTCCAAAGTCGGCGACATCCGCTCAAAGAGCAGCTTTCTACTTTTTAGCATCCAGGAAACGACAGAGGGACGACGTACGAACAAATTGGATTTCGTATTTAAAATTTTTTTTTCTCTTGAGATCCACCCTCATCATCATCATCATCCAGTGCCAGATCTGCGACAGACATCGGCGATCATGATTTTTCATTCATTCCTTTGTTCGGATGCTCTCAGAAAAGCTACGTTTCCCTGATTTTTCCCTGTTACCCATTTGTTTAGGTTCCCTAAGTATGTTATTCTGGGCCTACCCCTGCCTCGCTTGCCCTCAGTTTTGCCAGTGAGAGCTAGATGTTCAAGACCCTTATGTCTATTCAGGTGTCCCAAAAACTGCATTTGTCGTTTCCTGATTGTTTTTAACATTGAGCGTCCCACGTGGGCTTCATCAAGCACTACCTCATTTGATTTCTTTTCCTTCCACGATACTCTTAGCAGTCTCCTAAGAAACATTATTTCTGTTGCATCTATTTTATTTCCACTGTCTTTAGTGATTGTCCAGCATTCACAGCCATATAGAAGGGTTGACCAAACATAGCATTTCAGGACTTTCATTTTGGTGTTCATTGATATGTTTCTATTTTTCAGGATTGGGCTCATTTGATTGAAACTAGCCTTAGCCATTGCAGTTCTCCTTTTTATTTCTGCGGAAGATTTGGCATCAGATGTTATCATATATCCTAGATATTTAAACTGTTGGACTTGTTTGATCTTTTCACCTTTGCTAATGAGATTACAACCTATTAAAATATGCAATTATTTCATCGAGTTAAAAACGTCTCCGCTCAAATTATTACCTTACAAAGTTTTTGTTTTTGCTATCAACATTCTTACCAGGTGACTTCACCAGGGAATAGAAGTTGCACTTTTCTCCCCCTTGATCCTACAATCAAGTAAATCGAAACTTTGCAAAAGATTAGCTCATATTGTAGGGAGAAGTTAATATCCGAGCGCAGTGACCTCGACATAACTTTCGCCTACGTAGGCCTACTTGCAGACGTGTCGCGTGTCAGAGGATAACAAATCTGGTAAACTTCGATGAGCGTTATGAGCCACTTTAAAACTTAAAAATGCATTACGGTATTTATATGTATATCTTCTTCACGAGTTAGTCCTTAGTAAGGACCAAAACGTTTTCCTGACAGGGAAGTTCGCTCACTGCAGCAGCAACACCCAACGTAAGGGAGTATGTTTAAAATTGGCATGAACACAGATACCTTGGCGTTTAGGTATCTTGAAGGGAGAGATACATTATCTTTTGTGTGAAAGAATCACTTGGTCCAACACCAGCCAAACTGAGCAGGGCAAAAGCATGTGAAGTCAACAAGCGGGTCTACGCCCACGAGTATTTCAAAAGCAAAAGTTAAGCAAAATCGCTCCTTAGCAATATCTCTTGCTTGGCAAGTATTTGAATCTTTTAAAAGTTGTCAAACCTTTCATGCTTGACTTATCCACAGAGTGATATCACACCCTATAGAGTAACAACATGCCCCCCCCCCCCAACATGCCAAAGACAGTAACAAACAGACCCCTGAAAACGCCCAAAATTGTATCAACGCGAATGCTTGATACAACCAATACAGTAACAATAGCCTTTTCCTTAACAATGGCGTAACAACACGACCACTTGACACACCCTTTAAAGAAACAAACCCCAACTAAACACGCCCAATATAGTAACACACCACACCAAAACACACCCAATATATTAGCAACATGACTTATTAAGTCAGTTAAGTTGATTAATCGCGTGCCCCATAATATTACAGTAACAACATAAAACAGGCATAGATAAACTATGGCCCGTGGGCCAGATCCGGCCCCCTAGCAGTTTCAGTCTGGCCTACCAGTCGACCCTATCAACTACAATGAATCTGGTTAGCAATTAAAACAAAACTGCCCATCCTCCCTGATGGAAATAATAATTCTAATATTGTAAGTCATAAAATATCCGTGAGCAACAAAATAATTATAATATGCTCTTGAGTCAGTTTTAGTCTCTCTTTTGAGAGCGTGGTACTTAGATCTAACTGATTTCACCCAATTTTCTCCGTGAGGAAGAAAGACAATCATATTTTCAAGACCTGAGTGACCATATTAACACCATCAAGAACAAGAAATATATGTTTATCTTGGGAGATTTAAATGGCAGAGTCGGACGAAGAAGAACCCCATTGGAAGAGTACTTGGGACCCCACGGCGATAAAGATACAGACTGCAACAGCAATGGAGAAATGATACTAAACCTATGCGCTGAGCACGACATGATGATTACGAACACATTTTTCCAACATAGACAAAGCCAAATCAAGATCTGGTACAAATGGAGTGACCTGAACCATGCTTCACAAATTGATTTCATCCTGATGCGCAGAAAACAAAGACATACAGCCAAAGATTCGAGAGCGGTTCCAAACTACATCATCGACACAGACTATAGACCTGTGATACTTACTCTCAAACCCACAACGTAAAGCAAACAAAGAAAAACAGAGGGGAAAACCACGACTAACCTAAGAAAATTGGAAGAACCAGACATCAAGAAAGCAGTCGAGGATGACATTACCAAAGAGTACTTTAAACTGTCACGTGAGATCAAGGACATAGAAGACGAATGGCAAATATTTAAAAAATCCCTGTCAGAAATACTAAAAAACTGTTGTGGCACCAAAAGAACAGGTGGAAACAAAGGCAGAACAACGTGCTGGTGGAATGATGAAACCAAAGAAGCAATTAGAATGAAAAAGACGAAATTCAAGAAATGGCAAAAGTCAAAGACCGAAGAAGACTATATAGAA